AGGGAAGTTATGTGAATTGCACTGCATGGCAAACATACAACAAACAGTTGGAGTCTCTGGCACTGAGTGGTTGTACACACTGTTCCAGGAACCTGCCACCCACCCCAGCACCCGCTTTAGATCCCTTTCAGCACCACCAACCCCCTGACAGCATATGGGTATGACCAACCCAAGGATGGGACAGCAACCCACAACCTTCCTTCCCAAAACTGATTGTGATTAGCTTCATTCAAACCTGACTGCATCAAACAAGGGACACACAAAACCCTAAGAATTCGAGTTACCCAACAAAAACATCCCACCCCCCCACCAATTCGCTCTCATGTGAAACCGAGGAGCAGATTCCCTCTCGCTCAACGCAACAGAAGCGGCAATCCCACCTCTCCGAAGCCTCTGACGTACCCAGACTCTCCTGGGGCGGTGGCATATCCACGGTACAGGCGTAATGGACGGAGTGATGCCCTCCCACAGCGGCTATTCTGCAAGGGGCGGAGGGGGCGAGAGTTAGGCAACGAGCATGTTTAGACGTCTTTTCCCCCCAACGGCAGTGTCAACCACGTTGCTCCGTCCTGGATCTCACCAGCTGGCACTACAGCAGTGACGCTGGACTCACAAAGAAGACACCTCTCTCACACGCAGCTGGCCGGTTGAGGGCTTTTGAAGAAGTAATTAGGCATTTTTAAAAACTTCCAGAAACAAAAAACCCCACCCCAGCTTGTTTCTGCTTTTATTTTGCCTATTTATGTTCTCACTCTCCAGTCTGGGCAGTACAGCTGGGCTGGTCCAGATCCTCCTCAGCCATCTCGTGTGCTGGAACAGCTCAGCTGTGAGCAGTGCCGAAGGCAACAGCTGTGTAAATACTTAGAACTATTTAAAGCCACATTTAATACTTAAAACTATTTTTACTTCTGAAGACATAGAAGCAGTTCTTCTTGAGCATCCAAACCAAGACTTCCTCATTAAAAGAATTAATAACACCTCCACTTTTTGGATAGACACCGGATCATAATATAAATGAAATTACTACATGGAGAGAGATATTTCATTAGACTCCACTTACCAAAACCCATGTTACCCAAGATTTTTATCTTTGTGTGTTAACTGAAAGTTAAGATTAACCAGGGAAAAAAGGAGGGGAAAAAGAAAAGCTGGTTAAAGAAGAAGGAAAACTGCTACCCGCCCCCAGGTGGTTTTTCCCACACAAGTGAATTCCTAAGAGAGAAACAGAGGGCTCACGGGAGATCCGTGTACACGGCACAAAAGGAACTTTTCCCACACTTGAGACATTTTGGGCAACAAGAAAGTTTTTCTTTAGGACAAAAAAAGCAAACAGGGAGATGTTTCACCACAACACCCCCCTGAAGGTTACGCTTCTCCGTTTCCTTTGGCATATGGCAAAAGTAACGAGCACGAAGTCTTGTGGTTTAGGTCCCATCCTTGTCCAACAGCGTAGAGAGGAAAGGCAGGAAGAGGGAATTCTTACTCTTTCCAGAACAGCAGCCAAGATTCTTAGTTAGTAACAGGAGCGCGCGTACACGGACAGGAAACGTCTTCTTACCCCCCGGACCTCATGTGCCCCACCTGTACCCCATGGTTATTTTTTCTGGCGTACAGTGGACAGGACGAGACACGCAGTATCAAATATATTCCGTAGTTCTTCCATTACTAGACCTGTTTGCCCCAGGAGCACACACCGGGGCCTCCCCAGCCCTTTCAAATGGAACGTCACTGATAAAGGCTTCTTGAATCGTTCTGTGATCGACCGCTGGACGTGCTCCTGCATCTCAGCAGGTGCCCGTTACACCGCGAGGCACGGGATGAGCACTATGCACACAGCTCAACCCAAGAAAACAAGGAGGGGAAGCGGTTTTCTATTGATCTGTTCAATTTCGGCCCCTTACAACACGCTGGGTCTGCATCATCCTGCTTAAAACTCACCTCGAAATAAGCCACGGCTCCCAAGCCTCCCCCGGCCAGCCTCTCCGGAGGTTATCCCACCCTGCCCCACGGCAAGAGGGAGCTTGAGGCAACTCACTTGCTCGTCCTCGCTCAGCCTGGACTCACCTCCCAGGCCATCCGGGAGGCTGCTGCAGCTGCGACCTCGGTACCTGGGCCAGTTCATCCATTTTCACAGTGGCTACAGCCATGGCAAATCACCTGCGCCCACGTGGCCCTCCCGCCTTCAGTAAACACATCTGCTCCTGCACTTCAGAACAGGCTGCGGCAGGGAGCGAGCGGGGAAGGGGAAGAGCTCTGCTTCGCGTCGTTCGGCCACTCTGCTTTGTGCATCAGGAGGGGTTCTGTGGGATCAGTGGGTTTGGCCCAGGTGCTCCTTGAAGCAGATGATCTTTCAAGGTCCCTTCCAAACTGGGCTGTTCTGTGACTAGCCCAATGCTCAAGGTGAAAGGAACCAGAACACAAGCGCTCAGCCTACGCTGCCGGAGTCTCGCTCTAGCGTACATGTAGCGATGGGAGGCACAACTACAACCCCATCAAGTCCCCACCAACCCCATGTTATCACCATAATTTGGAAAGTTACAGATAGTTTCTAATTTGCCCTTTGCATCACGTCCAGGAATTTGTAATTTTTTTAACCCATTATTTATTTGTAATACCTCAAAGGATTTGGAAGGGATGCATTACACACACCTTGCTATGCCCTGTAACAGGCAGAACCATGTGCTGTTCTGCAGAAGAGAAGATAGAGGAGACCCTTGGCCATTTCTTCCTCTCTTCCAGCGGTTCTGCATGCTGTTTGTCCCACTTAACATCTTAAATACTTATTATTTTACATCCGTTATCTCCTGTTGTATCACTATGAGATCACTTTGCAGGGCACATCGTACCTTTGCCCTGGTTAACCTTAGGAGCCCCGGTGAATCCAGCACTGGAGGTTATCCAGGTGAGCTTGCCCCGGCAAAGCGTTCAGACAGGTACGGTACCGGCAGAACGTTGTTAAAGCAAGGAAACCTGCCTTGCAGGCTCGTACTCCAAACATCCAGTCACAGGATCATGGAATCATAGAATCACAGACTGGTTTGGGTGGGAAGGGACCTTAAAGACCATCCAGTTCCAACCCCCCTGCCATGGGCAGGGACACCTTCCACTAGACCAGGTTGCTCAAAGCCTCATCCAGCCTGGCCTTGAACACTTCCAGGGATGGGGTAATACAAGGAATACATCTCCATTGTATTTGGTCTCATCGGGAAATATGAGTAGGGGTAAAGAAATAAAAAAAAGCTCTTTTTTGAAGTGAGGAAATGAATAGCAAGGCTACAGACAACAAACTTCAGAGAGTGCTGCAGCATCTCCGTGTTTGCACAGTTCTTCCACCCAAACGTCTATAGACCAAAGACTTCAAGCTGCAACGCCCAACATTGGCTTTCCCTGTGCTGCAGGCATTCCAGAGGACTGAACACATGCAAACAGCCCTCAGCGATAAACATCTGAAAGAGCCTGTTCTCTGTCTTCTCAACTCCCCGCCAAAACTTTCCACAGGCCGGCAAACCCAGAGCCTTACTTTAGTGGGCATCAGATGACCTGGCCCAGAGAACTCTGCAGCCTTGTAAAGCAGCAGAGGAAGCGCCAGCCGTTGTGGTGGTGAAGGTTACAAGTGGTTCCCTTCCAAGGGCAGAGCCAGCGGGGGCTAAACGCCCAGCTTTTCCTTTGCTGAACTGTGTGGGTGGAGAGGAATGAACACGGGCACACAGAGCAGCACAGAAAGGTGGTCCCACCGCATTACTTCTTGTTACTGCTAAGCAGACACTTGAAATGCAAGTCGGGGCCTTAGCAGAAGAGTCCCCCTCGCCTACAAGGCCTTGTAGGTTCCCGCGGCCGGCCGACTGCCAACCCCTGCGGACGAGGAAGGGCAAAGACCCGGAAAACACAGCCGACGGGGAGTTTTCCCCCGGGCGTGGCACGTTCTGTCCTCTCCGTGTCCGACTGGAGGGTCCCCGCTGCAGCCACTCGGTACCAGACCCCCTCACGCCCGGAAGCGCCGGGACTCCCGCTAGTAACGGCACGGCTCGGGTCCACCCAAACGGGGAAGGGCCGGAGGCACCGGCTGCTGCAGGCCGGGGCGACGCAGGCCGGGCCGCG